TCTTTGATTACTGACCAGCAGTTAGTCTTCTGCTTATATCTTATCCCTTTAAAACTCTGCATCTGAATTCATTCAGTGAATTAATGTGACTTCAAAAAAGCAAGTTAGAGCTTTTGAACACATCTGAACTGTCAGCACACCAATTGGCAGAGTACCCTGTATATCACCCAGTTTAGCACAGCTGTCTTCCATATCTGCTGCTTATCTATACGATTCACTAGCCTGTCAGAAGTTGCTTAAAACAAACCAACCTCATTATTGGAAGCTGTAAATGCACTAACTTGGAATAAGGCTTTTCCTTGCTCAGTTAAAAACAGCATGCAATATAACTGAATAATGTAAGTGAACTATGCAATTTGAATTCATATTTAGTCTTGAACTCCAAATTTCCTCATGATTTGGTGAGTCGTCTCATGTGTTTTTGGTTTAGTTTATCCATTACTGCTCTGCATTTTTTCAGGGAATTATCAGATCAAATGTAGTTATTTGCATCTTCTTGGTAAACTAGCAATATCATACTGAGGTAAGGGTATTTATCTGCAAAGTGTGTATAATAATACCAGAAGGTTTTAGCTAGGATTTAATAATGGCAGTAAAGCCCCTGCAAAATTGAAAAAAAAGAAAACACCTTCAAATTTTAAATACATTCTGACAAGCTTTACAGCACCTTGCTGGAGGGAGATGCTGAAAATAACATCACAGATAAAATGAAGATAGAAACATTTAATTACATTAAAAGTAGTCCTGTGCAGGCAAAGTTCTGTCAGAGCTTCAAGATCAGCCTAAATTCAGAGTGAAATATTTGGAGTAAGCCAGGTGTTGGCTCCACTGCTTGAGGTGCCCCTGCATTCCAGAGCAGTAAGGTGACTAAGGGGAAAGTTGAACCGTCACTGTGCAGAGACACAGGGGTTTGGATAGCCAAAAGCCCCCCAGAGATGAAGCTGGCAAGGGATGTGAAGAAACTTTTCTGCAAGTGTAGCTGCAGCAGCAGCAAGTGGAGGGAAAATGTAGTGCTGAATGAGGGCAGGGGACCTGGTAACAGGAGATTCACCCTTCATGGAGGAGGAGTAGGTTAGGGAATGTTCAAATAGACTGGGCAAGCACAAGCCCATGGGCTCTGACAGGGTGACCTACAAGCTCACAGCACCATTATGAGGCCACTCTTGGTAGTCTTTGAAAGGCTATGGTGACTGGGAGAGGTTCCTGAGGACTGGAAGAAAGCAAATGTCACTCTTATCTTCAAGAAGGAAGATCTAGGGAATTACAAGCCAGGCTCGCAACAGTCCCTGAGTACATGATAAAGTAATTCCTGGAAACAGTTTCTCTGACCAGCTTTCTACATTGAGATTACTAGCTCAGTGGAGGAGGAGAGAGATGTAAATATGATTTATTCTTTTGAAAGAATTTCAGCACTGTCTTCCCTAACATGCTCAAATACCAACTGCTGAAGAATTGACCACTCGAGCAGATGGTCAAGTGCACTGAAAACTCCTTGAACTGCTGGGCTTGAAGGGCTGTGATCAGAAGAGCTGGTTCCTAGCATGGTGGGATCAGTTGCACAAAGACCATCTTGAGGATGATCTAGCCTGGCTGTCCCACCTTGCCACCAGTAAGATGCATGGATGTAGGGTACCAGTGGTGTTCTGTGACAGCCTGAGCTCAGCTGTCCACAGAGCAGTGCTCTTGTGACATGTGACACCAGTGCCCATCTCAGAATGGTGCTGCAGACCAGTGGCATTGCTCCAAATTAGGGTAGGTTTTAAGAAAGTAGTCGAAGCACATTCTGCAAGTCCAGGTCTTGATGGCAGATGGGTTTGTGTGGGGTCTGTAATAAGATAACACAATTTTCTTCCTGTGTGCTGTTGGTGAGTAATGGCTTTGGTGTAGACTCTGGGCCTGCATTTGTAATCCATTGTATAAAGAGAGAGACTGTCAGCCTGTATCTCTCTTCTGGGGCTGTGTAGAGGGACAAAGCTTTAAAAGATGCACAACACAGGCTAAGTTTGCGGTCAAGTGTTAGCTCAAAATACATTCCTACTGCCTATACCTCTTCCTTAAGATGTGAAATTCCCTGAAGTCTGTCTGTCTTACTCCAGATCTGTCCTTTGTCTGCTTGAAATCCAGTTGCATAGAAGTAATCCCATTAGTATTTATTGCATCTGCAGCCCAATATGAGCTCTCCGAGTTTTTTCATTATCCTTTTAGGTGCAATATGCCAAGCAAAAAAAGAAACAGGCTTCATGGGGGAATTGCCTAAATCAAGGGATTCAGATCAGCACAAAATAAGAAACTGTCTGGTGATCAATCTCACGTTACAATTTCAAGGACACTCTAGGTATAAGACATTGTTATCCTTGATCCTCCCAAGGATGATGTAGTTGTTGCTTCCCTGAAGGAGATGTTGCATAAAGGTGTTGTCAGCTCTCATTGTGTTCCTTCTAGTGTTGGAATAGTGGACAAGCACCCTCAGTCCCTCAGTGCTGCTGACCTCTGGAGAATGGGACCCATTTGCTTTTCTAGCTCACCAAGAATCACTTTCAAACCTAGATTTTCTTTATTACCAACAAACAAACAAACAAACCAACAAAACCAACAAAACCACAAAAACATGCACTCTACAAACAAAACAGAACAACTCCTACTGGTGATAATGTATTCCAGTTTCCTGAGGTTTTCTGAAATGTGTAGTACATTCTACTGGCCTCTGACTCTGCTTTGGCCTGGAAATACTTCCTGAGCTTCCTTTAGTGCAAACTACAGAGATGTTTTCACACATGTCCAGAAGCAGAAACCACTCCTTCAACCAGCACTTTTCTCAGTGATATCTAACCTAAAAAGGAACCTGACTCTGAGTACAATAATTACCAACCTGTTGTACAGATTCAGCACTGGAGCTTCCTACCATTCATGCACATTGACTCGTTCAGTGAAACTATCTCATGGCTTAACTCACAGCTGAATGTGTTTCAGCAGTGCTCTATGAAGACACATTTAGTGTAGCTGGATAAGCCTGAGTGAAGATTTGCACCTAATTTGCTGTAAATAATGCATATTACCTCTACTGCAGACAAGTGCAAACTCACTACAAGTTTATATCTAAAACTAGAGAAAATTTCTAAAATTAGAAAAACTAATTGCAGCTTTCTAAAATTAGAAAAACTAATTGCAGTTCCTTAAAAGATCTGAATAGCCTCTTGGTGCAGTGACAGGCTTCCAGGATTCTGTGATCATTAAATATGATTTGTGGGGTGACTGTGCTGCCTTAGTTCACACTGCCTTCGGTATGGGCTCATTTGTTCATTTTGGCCACAGTTCCTCTCCTCTGTTGTTGTGGGGATAGGATCATTTAGAGTTAGCAGAACCTAAGCTTTCCAAAACCTTTTCTGAATTCCAGTGTTTGGAGGGAACCAGTTCAAACTAGATTTTCAGCTCTGAACACAGCTCTTAAGGCCTAACAAACAATTTGTATCAGGTTGTATGTGTGTACCATTGCTGCTTAAAATGTTCAAAACATGCATGATAAATAATCTCTGTGCAAGGACAGTTAGATCAGTAAAACTTTGTCCTTGACATTGGTAAAATTGTGGTTTGCATTGCTGGAAAAGCAAATTATATGCTTGAAAAAATAAAACAACATCTGGAGAAGTAAGAAAAAAAAACAACCCAGGCAACACTCAAAAAATTTTCTAGCCCACACTTTTTATAAGCTAATTGCTGATAGGGATGATGGCAACCATGGAGGAGCAGCAGAAAAATGCAGCTGGGCTGGCCAGGAGGACATGCCTTGTGCCACATCATTTGGCATGGCATGAATTACACTCAGCATCCTGGGTCTGCTTTGGGGATTTTTTTCATTTGAAAGTAAGTTTTTAAAGACCTTGTAAGGAAAAGACAAAGATCTTGCCTGACAATTATCTCAGATATAAAGAAATCCATAACCAAACTATCAACAAAAAACTGAATAGTATTAGAATCAAATGAATATGGTTTCTGTATTGTTCTGGGTGTTCAGGTGATTTCTTGAAGAGGGACCCATAGGGTAAAAAAGAGTTCCTGGGAAAACAAGTGAATCACTTGAGGAAATGTTCTTCCTCAACAAGGTGATGACCATGTGGGTAAATCTTCTAAGCAGGTGCTTTAGAGATGAGAGTTTGTGACCCAAGACAGTAAATTCCACATTTGGACCTGGAAGGATGGCGCTTTTCACCATCATATAAGAACTTTGACCATGGGTGTATGTTTTATTTAGCAATTATTTGGGCTTTAAACTTTTACCACGTGCAGTTCCACTGTCTTTAGTATCCTGGCACTAAAATGTCCCCGTGGAATTAAAAATAAACCTGTGACTTTAAATTTGAGGAACAATTTTGTTTCCTATGTGAAACATCAGTTGCTCATCACTCATCAGAGTGTCTCCATTGCTGTTTTTTTGGCAACTGGTTAGTTGCCAGAACCAGAAGCAGCCAGGTAATATCTGTAGCTAGGCTGACCCTACAGCCTTAATAATCTACAGATTTCCCTTACAAAAGTGCCTAAGTATGTTCATTTACCTCTGTTTTTCATAAACTAAATAGAATCAGGCTTACATTTTATCACTTTCACATTTCTTGCTTCACTGAAACCTCACTAAGCTAACAGTATTTTAATTCTTACTGCACTTTACCTATGTATTATCTATTGATCAGTCAGCACATCTGAGGATAATCCAGGACCCTTCATAGGGAGCCTGAGGAGTGTTTTTCACAGGAACACATGCATTTACTCAGACCTGCTTGTAGCAGGATCTCTGCTGCCACTCTGAGATCCTCTCTATTGCATTCTACCACCCAGGGGAAAGCTCCCCTTGAAAAACCTTCTGAAACCAAACAAATGAGGTCATAAAATCGAAATCCTTGGGCATTGTGACAGCTATTCAGCTGTATTCAATTGACCTCACCAGATTTTTCTTTTCTTTTTTTTTTTTTTTCTTTTTTTTTTTCTTTTTCTTTTTGTTATTGCAGGATTCCCAGCAGGAGAACTTCAAAAGCCTTTCTTTTGGGGAACAGAGTATCCTAGGTAAGTAGTGCACAAGGGAACCTCATCCACCTAGAACTGAGGAATAACAGGGAAAGGTATTGCAAACAGAAATACACAAAGAAGAGGGTGAGGAGAGGAAGGCTGTGGTGCTGAAGACAACTGAAAGGCAGCCCCAAGGAAACCTGTGCTGTCCTGCTGTAAGGGCAAACTTGGTCATTGGGTTGTGTGTTCTCTCCTGCTGTATCCTGCTTTTGCCTCTGGAAAGGCTGACTTTGAGAAGTGCTACTTTGTCTGGTATTTTCTTACCCTTGGGAGCTGTATGTGTTGCTGTTGTCTTAAACTGATGACTGATTTCTCACAGGAATTGCTAATTAAGTGCACCCAAGTGGAAGTGTTTCAGTGCTACAGCATGCAGATGCAGCAGTGTGCACATGGCAGGTATTAAAAGGAATTGTAAATCAGATACTGACACTTCCTGAACAGAAGTGAATACCCTGAGAAGCCAATTATTATCAGTGTATTGTTCATTTTCTGCTAATATCTAAGATTAGCAGTGGGCCCTTGTCTGTGCCTGTTGAGGTGCATGAGAATATCTTCATGTGCATAAGTGATTGCCTGAGCAGGCCCATGTGCCAGTGAGGCTGAGGAAGGGTAATTATAGGTCACATACATTAAATTTTGAAAAATCACTGCTTTTGTGCAGTTCGATAGCTTACTATTTTAGGGTAGGATAAGACCATGAAAAATTTCTGGTGGCAGTTTCTGAAAGTTATTTTGCAGTTATATAAAGCCAGTTTCTGGTGAAATATATCCTTAATAAATCATTGTTTAAAAAAATCAAACTTTTTGAACATTTTGTGTTTGCCGTCATCCAATCTGGATCGTGTCCTTGTAAACAGGAAATTTGGCAATATATGTAGAAAGACAGGTTTAATTTATGAATTAATTAATTTGTATTCAAAGAGAATTCTTGTGGGCCAGGTGACTTTGTAAGTGGTAATTTGGGATAGGAGAAAGTCCTTTCTTGTTAAGGTGAACTTATTTTCTGTTGTAGTTATTGCAGACCAGCTTTGCTTTCTGATTTCTCTGTATTCTGACCTTCTGCCATAGTGATAAAACTGTGTTTCTTTCAAAGTCTTATACTTTGCTCATTTCTCTTCCTTAAAGGTTACCTTAGCTTAAATTGGTTTTGCTTGAGTACGTATCAAAATGTAATTTAGTAAACAAATGTAGCTGGTTTATATCAGACAACAGATTGCTTTTGTCCTTGAAATATTCTGGATGTTTTCTGTCTGCTTAGAAGAAACAGTACATGGCAATGGAGCAGATAAACCATCAAAAAGTCACCAGTGCCTGCTGAAAAACTAATTTAGCAAATATTTAACATTTAGTGGCATTTTAATGTCCAGTTCCAGCACAACCACCAAAACCCAGTTACATCTATTTGCAGAAAGCAAAGCTTAGTTATCACTTTTACATCTCAGTACATTAAATAAAATAACACTCAAATGCCACCATTCACAATTGTGAGTCTCCAGTGCCATATATATTGAAACAGAGACTTCAAACTACCTGACCTCACAGTTTCCTTTCAGTTCTGAGCCTCCCCAGTCCCAGAAGGGTCCCTTTTAATATGGTGTCTGCTGGGCTGCACCTAACCCTTCCATCTCTGTCCTGCTGTGCCCAGAAGTGAAAAGCATGAACAGAACTGGGAAAATTCCTGGAAAAAATGTTGCTGAGCTGGACAGAATGCTGCATTGGGGTTCACAGATACAAAGCCCAAAATTCACTGCAACCTTAACCTCATTTTTGGAACTTAGGAAGGCTCCAGGGACTGGCAGAACACTAGGCTGTTCTTTGTCCCTGCCCCTCATGGTGACAAAGAACCTTAGAGGAAAAATAAGATGCATTTAGTAATAGGACTTGTTTCTTCTAGATCTCTTTACATGTTTTGTGCCATTATTTTTATACTTCTCCAGCTGCAAAAGATCCTGTATAACCCCTTACTTTAGATATGGAAAACAAGTCTTACATAGTGCATTTATTAGGGGTAATTATCACTGTGTGCTACACAAGATTACAAACTTGTCACACAAAAGGATGGTATTTCCATTGCTGAAACATATAATTTTAACCTGCATTTTTGGAGATGGTTTGTAACAGTACTTGGGCTAAAAAGCAGTAGGGGAGATTTTAACACATGCAAAGTACCATTCAGGAAAGAAAAAAACAAAGTGAAGGATTTTCATGGGAGCATAGGGAATGAAATGATATAATAGTTTTTGGGCATGACTGAGATGAGCAATTAGTGCACTACGGATCATTAGGTCCAATAATGTTATTTCAAAACCCTCTGCCTCTCTTCTATTTCAATACAATGTCTTAGAAATACTATAAGCTACTTTGAAGTATAGCGTTTCAATAACTGAAATAATTAAAATCACAAAAAGTAACTCCACAAATGAAAGATACATTTAGTAAATCACCTACGCATGATACCCACTGCATTTGGTGTAAAAAAGCCCTGAGCTTTTCCCTTTTTTATCCCTATTTCTCCTAAAAGCATGCTTTTTGGGATATAATAAAGAAGATATAATTAATTGTCAGTCAGGAATACAAAGTATTTCCTTTTACTTTGTTTCCCAGGTGCCTTAGATCTGTGTATCATATCCTATACCAGGGCAGGTGCAAGGGAATTATATGACCTTTCTTTTTAGAACTGAATGGAGATCTGTTAATGCTTCACAAAAGATGGTCTTTGTTTCAGAGTAGGTACAGCTGTGACTTTGTCCTGTTCCCAGTCAGAACATTGAGAATTCAGTCAGCTGAAGGAGGGTGGAGCTCACATGATGCTGATAAGAGATTTGGTTGGAAGAGTGAACCATCACAATGCTTTCAAAGTTTTAGATTAAATGTTACTTTTAAACAAGAGTTTAACATTAAGACTCTCAACATCTTTAAATCAAAATTGTGTAGCGAAGTTTTAGATTAAAGGTTACTTTTAAACAAGAGTTTAACATTAAGACTCTCAACATCTTTAAATCAAAATTGTGTAGGTCTGATTTTTAGACCCATATCCCCTTCCTCCTCAGCTTATTTTTAAATCAATAATGATCTTTCCTGATGTCTTTTGTCCTTTAATGTTCATGACTGTGAACACTTTCTGAGGAAACTGCTTCTTCTTGTTACAGGTCATTAAGTTATGGTGCCATAGGAGTGATTGTTGGCCATGAGTTTACTCATGGATTTGATAGCAATGGTGAGTATTTCACTGCACTTTGATAACTTTTTTTTTATTTACAGAGTTGACAGATTAGAAAGCTGACTTGTACATGCTGTTGCCTTTTTCTTGTTTTGGTTTTTTAATGGTGCTGAGTTGTGTGAAAAAATTATAAAATTGTATTTATTAGATTTATTTACATGGAATCTTGCTTGTCTGAATTGGATTTTATTTGGTAAGAAATACCACAAGTTTGCTTCTTTCATTTTGTCTCAAATGAAAACTAAATCAGCAACAGATTCTGAAAGTCCTAACAGGGGGAGGGGAGAGTGGGAAGGACAAAGGGATAATTTCTGATTGATAAAAATTACAAAGAAAACTTTTCATTTCAGATTTGACATTTTCCAAAAGATAATTGCAAATGTTTTAAAATACAATACTGTAACAAGAGTGGTACAGAAAAGGTGTTGCAAAATATTAAAATGAAATTTTAAAAAAAAGAGAGACGGGGGAAAAAATAGTCAGAAAATGTCAGTGTAATTGTCCTGACAAACTGGATGGAGTGGGGCATTGCCACTACTCATGTTTGGCTGTCTCAGCAAAGTGCTTTTAAAAATTGGGCTCCTGAGAGAAAGTTAGGGGAGAGGGGGGAGGAGGGAGATGCAGGGAGAAAGAAACTTGAACCTCCTCCTCTAGGGAGTGATTTTGAGTTTGCTCATGTTGTGCAACATAGAATACCTTAAAAAAAACCAAAACAAACAACAAACCCAAAAAACGCCACAAATCCTGTTTGCACTGCTCTACAACACTTTGTGCCAGCAAGCAAAAGCAAATGGAGACATTTTTCTTCATAAACTCCCACTTTGTGTTGGTGAGCACCTAATCTCCACCTTGTTTCTTGCCCCTCAGAAAGGAACCTAAAGTTCGATTTCCCCCTTTCCAGGGTCTTACCTTTCAAATACAGAAATAAATACATCTCTAGGGAATTTGTCACCTTGTGGAAATTTTAGAAGTTTTCATGAAATGGATCTGTTTCCCGATCAGGTCAAGAATTAATAATAAATTAATTATCATCACATTATCAGAATGAAAGACATATGGTCTGAGGATGAAAAATGCAATTATACTTGCAAGAAAGCTAAGTGCCTCTTACACTATGTAATTATAAAATGTACTGTAGAATTCATTAGTTATTACTATATTTTTCTGCAAATGGAAATTATGACAATAAATAGAATGCCAGCTTTTCACTGCTTATTTGAGTGGGGCCAAGATTTTGCTCACTGATCCTATCCATTTTGTACACACACTCCCATGAGAACATTCCCCTCTCATTTCTATGAAGGTGATATATTCCTAAACTTTAAAAGCTTTTTCCTGCAAAAACATTTGTTTTCTTTCTTTCCTTTTTGAGGTCGGAAATATGACAAAAATGGAAATTTAGACCCTTGGTGGACAACTGACTCTGAAGAAAAATTTAAAGAGAAAACAAAATGCATGATTAATCAATACAACAACTACTACTGGAAGCAAGCTGGCTTACATGTATGTAAACCACCAGTGACTGAAAACAGTGGTACATGAGGAGTCTGGGTCATTGTGCTTTTTTTTTCATTTTTTTTAAGTTCTCTTTTTATAAATCCCAACATTGGAATATTAAACTACCAACTTCATTTCTCACAACAAATGATTTTTTGAGGTGAATAATTGTGTCAAAAATTGTCTGTCAGGTTTGATTAGTCCAGTCAAATACCACTACCCACACTCTGGTGACAGGGTTAAACCATTTCTCTCCATCACATCATTTTGGAATCAGAGGAAGAGGATGAAGTCACTCAGCAGGGCTGGTCTAATTATTGTGAGCATGTTAAATGTCTTCTGAAGATGAAGTCTGTAATGAAAACTGAGCAGTCACTCTTTTAGAAAGAGTATAATAGCATGTTTTATAGATTCCTTTTACAATTCTGCCTGTTATTTATTGCAGCTATAAAATGGATGCATAAGCCCTACTTTATTTCAGATTCACTCTTGCTATTTCCTCCATGTGTGCACACAGACCCCATTTGTATGTTTAATCAAGGGAATATGACAGCAGTAGTTCCTAGAAAAGGATTGAGAAAGTGCAAGGGAATTGTTTCTGTTTTGTTGTCTATCAAAGGTATGGGCTTCCCTGAAGAGGTGTACATTCGTATGTGTGTCCAAAATGAGGATAAACAGGATATGTTCCAGACCTTCAGAAATGAATACCTGAAATTCCAGTGATGTTGTCTGGGACACAATTTTAATCTTAGTTTTCAGGATAAAACACATACTCCAGTCCCCACTCAATTCTATCACCTCTACCTACATTTTACAAATACTAGTAAATCTTTGCCTTTTAAGAACAGTGAGGACCCATGAAATTCTTATCAACAATTCTAGCGCTTTTCCCAGGCTTGTTTTTGCTGATCTCAGAGATAACAAAGCCATATTGTGGTCCAGTCTGAAGTCCAGAAACTTAGACTTGAAATCCTTCATAATAATCTAATTTACAAATAAAAATTCTCAGGCTCATTCCTGAATATCTGTGGGACAAAAAACTGTCATTACAAAAATGCCACTCAAAGAAGATCCTTAAAATCTTCCCCAAGGATGTGGCTGAGCTCTTCCCATGCTCTGCCATTGGCTTGGCCATCCCCTTTAACTTTTGCACTGTCTCTTGAGATGAGGTAGGTCTGAATGTCATCCCAGTGTAGATACTGCCTTTGGAGTCCATGAGCTTACTAGAGAGACCCTGTTACCCACAGCCTTGTCATCCCATTCCTTCTATATCCACAGGATATCCAAAAGCACTTTTTAGATAGAATATTTTTCCAATTTTCTGACATATTTTATGGCTTTTGTAGGAAGAGCTATGCAAGCAAGGGCCTTTTATTGTTATCACTTTGGCCTGTCATTTGCATCAATACTCTGCAGGTTTTTTACCCTTGTGTGAATATTTTTCTTGGATTAAGAAACCTATTTGTTCTTCTTCTTTCTCATCTGGTATACAATACAAATGTCTCCAGAAAAGAAACCTAATGAAAGAAAAAGTGATATAGAAATAGCTTCAGAGTGCAATAATCACATAAAGTCCTCTTGTCAAATAAAGGGCTTATCATGGCCCGTGATCCCTGCCACAAACTCTCCGTGCAGAGTAGTCTCAAATACTTGATCCCCAGCTGCCTGAGACCAGCAGAAAGAATTCCTCCACTTTTTAGCTGGCCTGTGGCCCCGTTAGGTTACTCTGATCTTGTGCTCTAAGTCAGTCTCACAAGCCCAGTACAAGTGAAATGTGTGAGCAAAAAGGCCAGAGGAAAAGTCAGCTGTGTGCTGTCTGCTCCCTGGTGTCTCAGCACCTTTTCTCCTAAAAGCTTCTCTCTCTCCTCCATCTCCACCCTCCTTAGGGCAGGGGAGAGCTGACAGGAAAGGGTTGCACTTTCCTCTCTGGCTCCCATTTTTCCTGTAGCGTTGTACCCAAGGCATCAAGGTGTCCCAGTCCAGTCTGGGTGCTCATCTGCACTGAGTGTGGGGCTGTGTTCCTGGCCCTTCCCTTGAGTTTCCCCCTCATTTTCTATCCTGAAATGACTCTGATGCCAACCCCACTGTGGCATCCTGTGGCAGGGGAGGGCTGATGGCTGCAGCCAGCATTGACCTACAGAACCCTGCTCAAACCATGCTCAATTATCTTGCTTGTTCGAGGCACAGGAGAGAGTAAAACTGCTTAATTACAAATACAGTTGGTAACACAAGGACCTTAGTTGGCTGGGTGAGTAGAGATAATGCCACTTCAGCAGAAATTAGGATTTCTTTGTAATGATATCCAACTTGGTAATGCCAGGAGAGCAGTTTCCTCACAAAGTTTATATAGTGCAGTTTCCCACAACACATTCTTGTTGCTATTGCTCCTGCTCTTGGAATCAATACCCAGGACAAGCAACAGGAATCTCCTTTGCAGATATTTTTAGAGCACTGAATATACTACCAATTTTGATTCTGACAGCTATTTTTAATTAAGCTTATTTATGTTATGACTTAGAAGTTATTTTTTGCATCCCAGTAGCATATTAAGAGTTATGTAGAGAAATAAATATAGCCTTTTAGATAAAAGTTTAAGAGGCTACTGGATGTCACATGTCACCAGATATAAACAGTCCTTAGGGGAAAATTACTGACACTCAACTCAAAGATCAGGGACTGGATTCTTAAGTGCATTCTATCTACTATATTTTGTGCTGGAGAGATCTATTACCAGAGCCAGGATAACTCATCACAGAAAATAGTTTACTGGCAGTATTCACATGGAAACCCAGTTTTCTTAACCAAAGTTGCTTGAAATTGACTGAGGTGTTCTTGCCTTGTTTTACTTTGCCCCCTCTTTTTGAAGTTGATCAAGTAGGAAGTTCAGAAATGGGTCAAATGATTGATGTTCTTTCATTCTGCCAAGGTGAAAGGGAAGAGAACTTTGGCAGAGAACATTGCAGATAATGGAGGTTTGCGAGAAGCTTTCAGGGTAAGTAGATGGAAAATATCTGAAACATCATGTTACTTAAAAAATAATAATAAAAAAAAAGCTGTGGTTATCTTCATGTTGCTGAAAGGCACTTAGTATCTCTTTCTTATCAGGCATACAGGAAATGGATTACAGAAAAGAGAGGAGGAGAAGAAGAGCCTTTACTGCCAGGCCTTGAGTTCACACATAACCAGCTTTTCTTTCTGAGTTATGCCCATGTGAGTAGAACAAATGTATTTCAAATCCCCATCTATTAACTTGAACAATGTGCAGTGCAGAGATGAGCTTGCTTGTTTTCAACAATCTGCATCACCCAAACACAGATTTTGAGAGTATAAGGAGAGACTTCTCCCACAGTTATTATTTCTTTCTCTTTCCCTCTTTGTCCTACACTACCCATGGTGCCAGAACTGCTGAAATGATTCTTGGTTTTGCAGTGTTGTCACAGCAACTTTTTTTCTTTTTTCTACTTCTCTGCACTAAAAGGGTCTTCCTGCATGTATTGACTCCTCAGCCTCCTTCAATTTTAACTCGCACCATTTGTTACTGTGTACATTGTTCAAGGGAACTAAGCAGCAGTGAAGAAAGTCTTAGTTTGTTTTTTCCCATCTGTACACTAAATATGCTCTGACAAAACTTTGATAAGGAAGGGCTGTGATATTTTTAGGAAAAAACATAGAGTGAAGGAGGATCAGAAATTATTTATTTGGGTAAACAAATTGGGGCAATCTCCCTACACGAGAAGTAAAAGGCTATAAAGCTTTGCCTCCATTTGAAGGAATGAATCATCCCAAACTGAAAAAAAATCACCCAATGCAACAATGCAACCAGTCCTGGCTGAAAATAATTTCTCTGCTGAGAGTCAGTGTAGCAGTCTATGGGCCTATGGCTGTTTCAATTTGACTATACTGAACAAAGAGAATATTCCATTTTCATTGTTTATGCTGAATAGAGTTTCACCTCATGTCAGTTTTTCTCCAAGAAAATTTTGAAGCTAGAGAAAACATCTGGGGCTCTTACAGGACAACTGCAGAAATCATATGTCCAATGGTCCCTCACAGGGAGGGCACATGCACAGTGAGAGCAGTGTATGCAAGGTACCCTCGAGCTCAGTCTATTTCCACAAAGCTCAAGACACTCAACAGGCTTTTATAAAATGTCAAGACTGTGTTCAGCCAGAAAAAATTGCACTGAAGTTCACTGAAATCCTATGGGCAATCTGGCTTAAAGGATTTTGTTGATAGGAACATTTAATGTAGAGACTTAGGTAAGGTAGGGGCAGTTTAAAGGAGACTTCATGCAATGGATACAGCATAAGAGGGGTTATTCAGTTGTGCAAATATTCTATCTACTCTGTTTTTTGGTCAGTTATGATTGAATTAAGTATCTTATCAGGTACAGGGAACTGGGGACCACTGATGGAAATGTGGAATATGTATAATTTTGAAAGAAACTGACATTCCAACATGGCATAAATATATAAGGTAATATAGCAGCAGTTCTAGAGATGATAAGCATTATTATGTGTACTTTTTATACACAGTACATAGTTTTGAGACCAAGAAGTATGTTTGGTAATTATTAAGGTGTGAGATGCTGCAGAACAAGCTGAAAGACAAGCTACCATTATAGAGAACTTCAAAAAAAGAACTAGTAAAGTGACTGTGATTAGATGATGTGAAAGAGTGTGTAGAGAAAAACAGTGGGTGGACACTGGATCCATTAGGGGATTTGAAAAACAAGAGAAAACTGCAGATTGGCAAAGGTGAAACAAAGTAGGAATTTATGGTCTTTCCATTTTATGTATTTTATAAGTAATAGACATCCTAAGAACAGTGACATTACATTTTGCTGTGCATAAAAAGTCATCCCAGATAATGTGCCTGTTTCTGATTTTTTTTTTCTTTTATTTTATTAGGTAAGATGCAACTCCTTTAGACCGGAATCTGCAAGGGAGCAAATATATACTGGAGCTCACAGCCCTCCTCAGTTCAGGTAGTGCAAATATGGTATTTCCTCAGTGTACACACAGAATCAATCACTGCAGAACAGAAGTGCAGAAATACAGCATTTTAAGAGGGGTTTAAGAGCAAGCACAAAATTGGATTGTGCTCTTGGTTTAGATGGAAATTGAACTGCTTTTATTAGCTTATCTCTCACTATTATAAATGCTCTTCTGTAAAATTGAGGAGCTTGCATCTACCTTCAAAAGCATTTGAACCAGAACACACTCTGATCCCTGTGATGTCCTGTAATCATGGCCTGAGTACCTAAAATGCCTCATCTATCACTTTCTTTCCCTAAGCAATTCCAGTTTAGAAAACAGTGAATATAAGGAGGGGCCTTGATTTAATCTGTCTGAGTTCATTAAAAGCTCCTTAGTCTTCACCTTGAATTACATTGATAAAGCAAAGCAAACTGTGCCCTGAGTTCAGTTCAAGCCCTGACTCTTCCCTTGGCCTTCCAGGGACACTTTGCTTGAAGGAGCTGTGGTAGTCCACCCATATCAGAGGGAGCCTGTTCTGGCCAAAAGGCTCCTCTGGCCACAGACACTCATGAACTCCCTGCCATGGGAAGGGGGGAAGTTTTAGAGACTACATAGGAATTAAGAAGCCTGAGTTTATTTTTCTGCTTCTTCACCAAGAACATGTTGGTTTTGTTGGGATTCATGTTGGTTGCATTTACTTAACTAAGAATTCTGTGTTTGCCCTTGGTCAAGTACTACATTACCTCTTTATTTGGACAAAGGATGTTATATCCACAACAAAATTCACACAATACAGTGGATTATTTGCCTTCTAGAGAATCTCACCACTTTCTGTTGACTGAAAGAGTGTAATACCAGTTAGTGAGGGTAAAAGTAGTGCAGTATGCAAATCTGTGTGCCTTTTAACATTGAAAATACATCATGACAATGAGGATGGGAGCATCAGGCTGAACTTCAGCCTACAGAGATATTATTTTTATAATTCCTATGTTAAGATTTTGGTAAAATATCCATCTGTTGTCTTTTAAAATCCTCAGGTTTATTTACCTGTATGTATATTTATATTCTGAATAATTTCATAGCTACATTCCCATGAGATAGTGATACACGTGGAACTCTAGTGATAGAGTATTTATTTGGAAAACTCCTTTATAGTATTTATTTGGAAAGGCATCAGGCTATGAAAGAAAATTTCAGAGTTTAGGTTAATTTGAGATCTAGAAAACATAGACAAAACTTTTTCTTAGTTTTTGTGAGAGATACTGTGAACTGGCTTCTGTTTCACAACTGAAGAAAAGCAGTGGTGCTTGTCTCCTTGCAAATCATATCAGCTGGGCTAAAAAAATATCTTATCTATTTCTCCCAGCTTGGTTTCATTTATGTCCCAAGACCATTATAAGCATAACTGCAATACAGCTAGCTCCAACACTGACAGCTTTTTCTGTCCAAAAAGCTCAAACAGCCCTTTTAAAAGTAATCATAAAAGGTAACAATAGAAATTATAGAAATGAACAACATATGTCTTGAGCACAGGTATATGCATCTGAACTACTCACACCAGTTTCTTTTCAAAGTCAAAAAGGAAATGTCATTTTAGAAGTTTATATATATATATATATATATATATATATATATATATATATATAAATAATCTTTCAGTAGGTAATAAATTTAAATTACTTAGACTATGCAAGTACATCTTTCTATTGATTACCAAGGGAGGCCAGTGTGACCTGCTCAAGGAAAGGTGTCTCTACTATAATTCAGTGGGATGAAATCCAGACACTCCACTCTGATTTCAGTTAATGTGTGGCAAAATCAAACCATGGGTAGAAAAGTGGTGTGCATGCACACATAAAGATTTTTTCACTGGATAAATTCCAGGTTTACTTGTTTTTAATTGGCAGATTTTCAGTATTAGCATGTGTCTTTGCTATTTTTGAATGCCAATTTCAGATTGAAATCCCTGGCATGGCAGGCAGAACTCCCACCAACATCAGCAGCAGCTCTGCATGACCAACTCTTGCTGTTCCTGCCCCTGAATATGTATCTGCAATTTTTTTTTTACAGTAAAGCTGCATATCTTATTTGAAGCCTAACCTAATTTGGTAATCTTTGCTACAAAACTGACCTTTAGGCATTTTTGTGCCAGATGACTGCAAATTTTCTTACTCACAGAAAGTCTGATCAATGTAATAAGAATATTTTCTACCATGCTGAGCTACACTGAGAAGCAAATTGTCTGCAATATAGAAAAATGCCTCCTCACTGCATAACAGAGGCAAGGTATACAATTACTATCACAGGAGATATTTTTCTGCTTTTAACTCCGAAAACTCTTTACAATCATTGCAAGTTTCAGGTTAGTAAATCCCAAGATAGTTGAAAGCATGGGAAAAAACAGCAAACAACACAATTTCAATCTAGCAAAGGTAAAATAATAGTTTCTGACTGCATCAAATAACGCAGACATGGAAGCAGGAGCCAAGGATGACTGCATGCAAAGACCAAGCTCTTCCCCTGTGCCTAAAGGTGCCAGTCTGGAATGCAGACACATTGTCCAGCTTGTGCCAGGCAGGGATGTGCTGCTCTTTCAGTATCACACCACCTGTGGTAGAAGCAAGAGAGCTTGGGAGCTGTTCAGAGCAGAAGGCTCAGAAAATACATTTCCAAACTATCAGAGGAGTCGAGATGCTCCCAGGTGCAAGGCTGAGCTGCCCAACAAGAGCTGTAAAGTCCCAGGGACCCAGTGTGTGTGGGTGTGGATGTGTGTGGGTGGGCAGAGCATGCTGTTAGGAGAATCTGGAGCCTCATGAAACCACTGCCAGCACAAGCCCAGTGTGTGCTTCCATCCTCCTGCCTGCTGCACTGCAGCTGTCTGCCAGGGCTGGAAGAACAATTCCACCCTGCACAGCTACTGCTGATCTCCCACCTCTGCTGCAAGGGTTACATTAGAAAATTGTTCTAAAGGACACAGTGTCACAACATGAATTTGTTTTTCCTAAAGTTTATAGCAAAGCAAGATGTTTCTCAAAGCATGAAACAGTATTTGCTTCATATTAACTTTAACTGAGAGCCCTTCTCCTGAACCTTTTGGTTTTATTTGTGGGGAAAATGATATGAAAGCCTGAAAATTCAGCCTGAAGTGAAAACACTGGAACACTTGCAGACCTGTAGTGTTTGACAAAAGGCAACCTGCGTGTCAAGCACTTTTCTCTTTGCAGAGTGATCGGAGCCATGAGCAACTTTGAGGAGTTCCGCAAGGCGTTCAACTGCGCGGCGAACACGACGATGAACCGCGGGGCGCAGTCCTGCCGGCTCTGGTAGCTCTCCCTGCCAGCCCTTCTCTCAGGAGCCTGCAATTGAACTGCTCAAACCCATTGCCAGAGCTTCAGAATGATGCTCTGAAATATGGAGAGGTGTTACTTCCTCACCCATGTTGACGATCTGCATGGATCTGATCATTCCTTACTTAGAGCCTAGAAACATTCCAAATAGAAGAGCTTTTCTTTCAGTATAATAATAAAAAGTAACTCCTTTTAACCATAAAACTACTCCGGCTCATCTGCAGTATCACTGCTGTTGATGGATAACTGCCATTATCAATTCTAATTCCTGATTTATAGTTGAGCAAGACGAAAATGCTAAAATCCAGTTTTAATCTATTGCTCTGCAGGGGTTCTATGTAGAAGGCTTCCACAGTAAAATTTATTCTTTCTGGATGAAGAAATTCATGAGACCTGCTATAAAGCCTGCTCTGATCTGCTGTGTGATACTGCATTTTCATAACTTAAGCTGTCACTGCCCAGCATGCCATAAATGATGTCGCATGATGTAAAGACACAAGACTTTCTATTAGTTCAGTTTAATATGTCAGATTAGTGCCTCTGGTTTTGGAACAGTTTCAAGCTGAGAAAGTACCTCATGGTATTCATCTGCAGGACTAAAACACAAAGGATACTTGTCAGATCATGGCCTCTTCTAATTTTAGAACAGCTTATGATAAAAATCAATGTATGGTGAAAATCAGAGGCTCTCAGAGGGGATTCCCAGCACCACGATACTCATAAATATTGCAGCATTTATTCTGGTTTACAATGTAGGCAGTTTTTTCTCAGCACCTTGTGTGTGAAGATAGCTTCATCGACATTTATTTTTTAAGCCAGAAATAGTATACCAGTTTTAAATGATGGATTTTATTGTTTCTGGGTCTTACATGGCTTTTTAAGTACTGTGTGTGTTTGCCCTCGTGTTCTGGATGGGGCAGGATGACTTGTGATTTTAAGGTGACAGAAAAACAGAGTACCAGCATCATTTGACTTGTCTGGATAAAAAGAGCAATTGACAAGTAGAGGACTTAAAAATACAGTAAAAATACAGACCATTTGAGTTTTCAATTTGATTTTAAAGAATAATCATGGAAAGATATTTTATTATAGCAGACAAACTTTAACACATAACTATTACTGGGGGGGGGATGAGATGGGGGGTGAGGGAGGATGCACACACAGCTCTTTTTTCCTATCAGAAAGGTACCTATATGAGTGGTATCTATTTATATCTTGTGCATTATTTCATTTTTACATGGTGGAATTATCTCATAAGGAGTTTCTTTAGACTGATTTCATTACTGCAAATCCATATGGAGTAATATACATGTGTATATACATATATACAAAATATAATTTTTATATGCTTTTATTTTATTTTATCAGTATAGAAATGTTAGTAAGAGAAACTTTTTCTTACAAGGGTTGGTCAAATACTGTTGGATAAGGACTTGGTTGGATGGTCCAGAGGGTGATGGTCAATGGCTCAGAATTCCAAGGGACATCAATGACAAGTGGTACCCCTTAGGGGTTCATACTGGCACCAGTGCCATTTAATATCTTCATTAATGATAAAGGGATCAAGGGCACCCTCAGCAAGTTTGCAGATGACACCAAGCTGAGTGGAGTGGTTGCCACACCTGAAGGATGGGATGGCATCTAAACAGATCTGGACAAGCTTCAGAAGTGGCTCATGGGAATCTCATGAGGTTTTAAACAAGACCAAGTGCAAGGGGCTGCACCCAGGGCTGGGCAGCTCCTGGTACCAACAAACTCTGGGGATGAACAGATCAAGAGTAGCCCTGCTCAGCAGTACTTGGGGCTGCTGGTGGGTGAGAGGCTGGACATGACCCAGCAACAGGCATCTGCAACCCAGAAAACCAACAGTGTCCTGGGCTGCATCCAAAGCACTGAGGGCAGCAGGTCAAGGGAAGGGAGAGGAGGCCACCAAGATGATTAGAGGGATGGAGCACCCCTCCTATGAGGAAAGGTTGTGAGAATTGGGATTGGTCAGGGAAGGCTTCGGTGTGACCTAAATTTCAGCCTTCAGTACATGAAGGGAGGCTACAAGAAAGGTGGAGAGGGACTTTTCACAAGGGCATGTAGTGACAGGACAAGGGGCAGTGGCTGTAAACTGAGAGTAGTTTTGGATTAGGAGGAAGTTCTTTACTGGGAGGGTGCTGAGGCACTGGAACAGACTGCTCAGAGAAGTTGTGGGTGCCTCATCCCTGGAAATGTTCAAGGCCATGTTGGATAGGGCTCTGAGCAACCTGGTGGAAGTGCAAGGAGGTGACCTTGCCCATGGCAGGGGGCTGGAATTAGATGATCTTTAAGGTTTCTTACAACCCAAATCATTCTGTGAATCTGTGATTGTCCAAAAGTCATGGTGGAGGAAGGTTTACTGAAGCAAACTAACTGAAACAAATTGGGTTATTTTCCTGTGTGTCTTTAGAAAGAAGGGGGTCATAATGGAAGCATAATTTATGGAAAAGGACAGGATCTCAAACTACCTTCCAGAGTGAAGGAAACAGACATTCCTGTCCTTAAGGCTATGTTTCCACCTTTTAGAAACAAAATATTGTGATTTGGGATCAGAACATTCTTTTATCTTTTTTTCCCTGAAAAATTCAAACTTTTCTTAAGAGGAAAGCATTTTCCCTCCCTTCATTGAAGCTCAGTTACTGAGTTCTATGGATTTCAGTTTATCATTTGAATTGCCACTACTAAATTTTTTCCTAGAGGTATTTTTCCCATAAACAATGGTGGCAGTATTTTCATAGAGCTTTTCCTCAAACAAGCAAACTGAGTATGTACTGACTTCATTTCTGTGCTCATAGAGCACTGACATGACTTGATGTTTGCTGCTTTGGATCAACAGCACAAAGTTCAGGGTTGATGTCCTGGCCCAATTAAAGGTACTACCAATATGGTTGTTGTCCTCAGAAAAATCAGGACATCAACTCAGGCACTTATCTGAATTTTATAAATTACTGGAATATGCAAAGACAGTTTCACAACAGTCAACTCTGTGTTTTCTAATTTTATCTCTCAAATCAGAGATGTATTTGCAAGAATTCTTCTCTCATGGTTATTTTCCAGTGGGACAGATTCTGTCATTTTGTGATTTATGAAGTTGTTTCTCTGTACTGGATTGGATTTTTTTCTAAAATGTCTTGCCTTAAATGTCACTCTTCCTGCTCCCTTTTAGGCTCAGGTCTTTCATGTTTAATAACAGGGATTTCTGCACGGTAGTGTGTGTATTCCCAATGGCACAGGAACCACTGCAAACTCTTTCATCCTTGCTAGGCCATCTCCTGCAGCAGGCAGGGGACAGGTCTGGGCTGGGTGTTTTGGGGGCAATGCACTGGGAGAGAGGAAGAGAGATCATGACCTGATTTTGTATGCTGATTTTGACAGCTGAGAGGGTACCCACACACTGCTGGGGGAAGGCAGAAGTCCTTGCTGCTGACTGGTACATCCATCAGTTGTATCCTAATTCAGGAAATTCTTGCTGTTGACTCAGGTGCTCAATGTTTGGGGTTTAGGTCTTGCCTGTGTCCACACAAGGACCCTGGCCTGCCTCACCTGCTGCTTTTAACCTCAAACCAAAGAATTGATCTTACAATTTACAGTTCACTTTGGATAAGCTGCTTAGGTACCATTTGGAAAGCAAAACAGAAGGTAATTAAACAAGTTCTTAAAACTTTTGTCATCAAAGACAGCCGAGACATTAGTGATGGTTTGTGAGGGCTCTGCCCATTGTCTCTGTTTTATCAGAGCACCTGGCTGTGCTTTGTTTTTGTATTGTGCCTCCTGGGTCTGTGCCAGCAGTGCCTTCCTGCATTGCTCTCAGGTTCACTTATTACATCTATGCAAAAAAAATCCTTCACCACATATATCCTTTTCCCAGAGCTTTAAAAAGGTTATTTTGTTTAATTGTCAGTAATATTGAGAAATGTTTCTTCCTGTTGGCTCAGTAGTCTACTTCTTCTTCAGTGACCAGGAGGGGAAGGGTCACCTATGAATGAAACATTTTTACCTTTGTAAATCTGAGGAGGTATTTTTCTACTGTGTAGACATAAAGAAACAACCTCTACTCCTATCCCATGTGTCCTTCTTCAGATCAGAAAAATATGGAAACCTATTCTCTTCTAGTTAATCTAGTCTAGATTTTTGTTTTTGTTTTTGTTTAAGCCTGAAATGCTAAAACACCAGTTTATACACTGTGAATATTTCTGCTGATCATATTGTGGAAGACTAAGCTCTCTGAAAAGGCAGCTGTGCTATTCATCTGTATGAACTGCTTAGGTACATAAATGATGTCCAAGCTGGGTCTGGACACCAAAGGACCAAAAAACTCAGCTGAATTATAAAACTCTGCCTCATGCCTTATTTAGGTAGGAACATTATCATGTCACTAATTGGTTGAATAATTTATACAATAATCAGGTAGGTCTGCATATAAATTTTCAGCGAGTATTATTCAATTAAAGACTTGGAAGTATATCTCATAACAATGTTATATGTATATATATATATATACACATGTATCTGTCAATGAAATGTTAAAAGCCTGACAACTCAGGAGGAAGAACTATAGTGATTTAAAATGTCTTTTGCCTTTAAGTCTTTTTAATCTGTTTTTTATTTACTGGTCAGTCTATTGTACATTTGAATTTTTCTACTTGCATAGTACATTGGTTGACTGTTTTAAAGACAATTGTGTTAGCAAATAAAGCCAAAGTGATGAAGAATTTTCCTATGCTAGCAGTATGGTAAAACCTGCTTGGCTTGGCACTGTCCAAGTCTACAATATTACTTCTATAATATATAGTCTTAATGAGATGTAATAAAGAGCATAATGATGTGGCCCCAGGTTCTCAAGACTACTTTTACTGCTTGACAGGCTAAGGACCTCCTCTCTCTGTCAGAGAATTGTGTAGGCATCATCAGCCAGAGTTTAGGGTCCACTTGCCCTCATTACCCTGCTGGAGGTAA